TCAGGGGGATGTCGCACCACTCTCACGAGTACGAGCATTAACCTACACACGGGGCCTGCGTCACGTGTACGTGCACGCTCCGTGGCAATGCTAATGTCCAGGAATGCGAGCGTGTACGTAGATGCATCTGCAGTATTTCGCGATAATGGCGCGCCTCGAGTGAGGTCGAAGCGCGTCGTGCCTCGCGCAATGTAATTATATTTTTGCAATATATATATATATATATATATATATATATATATATATATATATTTATATTTATATATTTTCATTATATAATATTTTATCTCATATATTTTTATATAATATTTATATCTCATATATACTTTTAATATTTATCAACATTTAAATTTTTTCTTTCCAACAAGGATCACGATATTGTAATTTCGGCTGACGAACCAAAGACATTTAAAACGCAATGCTGTACAACGTATATATATTCTAGATATGTTGTAAGAACTGACAAGTTTATCATTTCAATATTTAAACGAGGAAAAAATAGACTTGACAATAAAACTGTAACTTATCAATATGATATAGTGGGTTTTGGTCAGAGACAGTTTCATATTTATAATTCTCAATTGGTATAAATATCGCTGATAAAATAAAAACGAGGAATTAGGGTATTTTAGAATCATTTCGACATGTGGGAGATCTCGATATTTTCACAGTAATCATCGATATAATTATTATAAAATTTTTAACGGGTTTTATTATGATAATATATATAGTACAAATCCGGATGTTTTATTGCAGAGAATGTTCCAAGTGACTCCACGGGAAATGCGTGACAAATGCACAAAGGTTAGACAACTGTATTTAAATAATATAATGTTTTCTTATAATATAGTATTTTTATATCAATGTAATATTTATATATCCAAAAATATATATTGTTATATCAGTCTTACACAAAGTCTCTGAATTTTCTCAAACGAGTGTTGAGATCTTCTTTAATCTAATAAAAAGAGAACAATTTACTCTTACAATTATAAATTAAAGTTGCTTTTGAGTGTCTGTGTCCCGCGATTTCTGCTGTTTTACATAGTTAAAGAAAAGATAAAAAAACATCCATCTCAATCGACGGAAACGTTGACCAGTTATCCTGGAATTATTTTGTTTCTGATATTAGCATGTCGAAATATTTCTAAATTACCCTAAATATAAATGCAGCCGAATATCTGTATCATTAATCGTGATCAGCAAAGATCAATGCGCAACAAATAAAATAGGATTATACACGAGCGGCAAATGAACGACATTCGATGCTCGAAAGAAAGAACATCTTGATGCTCGATTTCTTCACATCCATTGTGTTTCGCTTTTTTTTAGTGTATAAATTACACACTCGACAATACGGCGATAAACGACAGTCAATACTCGATTAGTATGTTCGTTCGCAGGGAATAATATTAGGCCTTCGATTAACCTGCAAGCTATATAGACGTAGCGCACTTTGAACTCTTCCAGGCCACATTTGTCACACAACGACAGACTTAAGCTTTCGATGACACATGTAACAAGTTCCTCTTTTCTTTTTTCTTTTTTTCTCTTTTTTCTCGAAGAGGTACAATCATAAGAGAAATAAGGATCAATCTTATAAACTTGAGAGAAAATAGTTCATCACCTGAGAGGTGACAGATTCAAACGTTCGACCAACGTATTTAGAATTTACTCAGTGATCCGTCTCCTTGGAGTGCGTCCATCTTCTCTTAAAGTATTACTTTGTACGTTTAATTATTGATCCGTGTCAAGCGTAAAACGCGAGATCGGTCTTTTCCTTTGCTTCACAGTTGGAGATTACGTTATTACCCTCGTGATAATGCTCGTGGAGCTCGCTGTCTCTGGTGGGTCAATTGTCTCAAAAATACGTCTCTAAAATCTTTCAGGTATCCAAAAACGTAATATACAGTTGGAATTACAGCATCAAATATCGTGCAACAAACGAAAACGTAAGTGCATTGTGCCTGTTTATGTGCGCGGACACATGAAGAATATTCACACGACATACGATCACGCAACTTGTGCATCTTTTTTTCGTTTTTTTTTTCTTTTTTTTCTTTTTCTCTTGTACATCGACGTTTTAGACGATATGTTGAATGACCATTAATATATCTATAAAAGTGCAGAAGAACAGTTTCTCAGTGGGACATTTCTCCTTATCTTTTTTTTCCTTTTAGGGAAATATATATATATTCTTTCTCGCTTTTTTACTGTTTTTGTAATACCGCTACATGTTTCATTATGTATACGTGGTCGTCCGACTATTCGTTACGATGGGATTGTTCTCGTTCTTCGAGAGCGAGAACGTGAATTACTTTGAATTAAGTCAAATACGTTTCGATTGCAATGATCAAGCTAATGTAGCGTGTGCCATTGCGCGATTTGCTTCCTCGGCGATAACGTCATTTGGAGCCAGTGCTCTCGTCCTTGACTGTTGCCGCTGTCCGAGCCTGTAGCGGGTCCGATAATGCAGGTTCCGACCACGGCGTTTCCGCCCATCAACTCGCTGCTCGAATCCAACACACGCACCTTGTACAAACATGATTAGTCATTCTCCGTTTCTATGTAACATCCACATGATACTAGTCCCTGTCAAAAGTTCTGACAAGTGCATATTACGGATGACAATCTTAGTTCTTGATTGTTTCAATTCCCTACTTCCCATAAAAAACAGAATCCAGACTGAGAGAAAAATATAGTTGCTTTCGGCGTCAACTATACTTTTTTGTGATTTTAACCAGAAAAATAATTAGAAGAACCATCTTTCTAATAACACTTACTAAACAATGGTTCTTCTAATTATTTTTGTGGTTAAAATTACAAAAGAGTATAATTGACGCAAAAGGCAACTATATTTTTCTCTCAGTGCGCAGAATATATAACGCTAAATCTGAACTTTGAAAGGTCGAAGCATTGAAAGCAAGTTACAATAGTTACGATGTCTTAAACTTAATTAAGAATATTACGTACAATAGAAAAAATTTATAAAATGTAAAACTAATAATAAATCTTTTATCTTCCATTTTTTTTTGTAAGAACGGACCTTAACCTGTTAAAGCCAAGAAAACTCACCTTCAATAGATTCTTAACGGGTTGAAACTTTCAACAACAGTAAACGGATTTACTGTTAATTAATACCAAAGAACAATCATACCTCTATAGCCGATGATGCAAGTGACGAGGCAGGTATGTTAAATGACATTGCTTCGTTCCAAACGGGATTCATCGTTGCCCTTCTAACGGCTGTCTTCTTTTTCTTCTTTATTCTTCTTTCACCACAGAGAAGGCTGACTTTTGCAAACGGATCTAAAGTGTCCTTATCCTGCATCGAAGTTAATTGAATATTATTAGGATCGCCTGATAAATTGCCGAATAAAGATTGGAGTATTGTTCGTGTCGTAACTAAAGTTTAAGTGCTATTAGCCCACCTGCTGGGGAAACAGATTCCTGGCTTTCATTATGAGCACGGTAAGCCTCTCAGCGCTCGGCAAGTAGGACAATGAAACTAAAACTTCTTGGATTTCTTCCGGCGGCTTGCGCTCCCTCGCTATTTCTCCCCAGACGTCTGTCCAGGAAGTGGAGGAGACCGGCTCGAGACCGTCCATTGCCACCCTCAGGGAACCCACCACATCGTTCCTCGAGAAGCGATCGTAATCGAACACCTGGCGCGTCACAACATTAAATGTCTCAGGACTCAATTAATCGCGAACACGATTCCACTCTACATAACTGCGCGCGATCCAATAACAGAATGATAAATTACCTGCAAAACTAAGGTCTTTTCCTGCAGTTCCTCGTAGCTAACGGGGAACTTGAAGTGCTGATTGAAACTCGGATTCGGATTGTTCCGATGGATCTGAGTCTGCCTCTTCCTGGTGTCCACTTCCGGGCTGAGGGTCAATTTTACGTAGGGATCGTTGAAGCCGCCTTGATCGCTGCCAGCGAGATCCTTTGCCTCGATCAAGTGCACGTGTAAGTCCGATCTATCGAAGTCATACTTTAAGCGCAGGTGAAGCTCGCCCAGGTGCTTCCCCGTCCTGTGAGTATCGCGATTTACATGGATTTATTATTTCCGAGTATTATTATCGGCAATCACACGTTCTTTTCGTTTCTCCAGCAAAAAAAGAAATTATTTCAAATTTGCTTTCTATCGGTCAACTTTTATTAAGTACCTGCGGGCGCTGAGAAAGACTTTACTGTCTTGCTTTTGGTAGAGATCCGGTTGTAAAGAACCAAGCGGGGAAGCAGGCGGTATTGGGCCACCGTTGTTGCCGCTAAGGGGAACGTCAAAATTTCGCTGAATTTCGCACATTCTAAAGATTGGAATTCGGTGCAAAAATTTTAATAATTCGACGAATGATCAAAAAGAAATCGACATGTAATTTCTCCTCTAATGTTTCAACAGACGAAAGTTTTAATTAATATTGATTAAATAATAATAGAGCATGCGAGAGTGATATCTTCTGTACATTTTTGAAAATTTCAATATATAAGATAAGGTCGTCTATTATGCGACAGGCTCCTAATATGAGATAGCGAGGTTTCCGCTAAACTAATTAGTGCTATGTGTTGGTTCCACCATAAATTCATTGCTCTTGGAGTAAAATCTATTTAGTGGAAAATTCATTATTAGATCATGCGTGTAGTCGTTGCAAAAAAAAATTTTGTAAAATTGGATGTTGAAAAGTTTTATGAGGCGAGTCTTTAAACTTTATTAATTATATAATAAATAAATATTTGGCAATAAATGCTGCATACAGTGATAGCGTAAGATCATATTAATAGGAAAATACGGGAGATGTTGAATTTCTTCATTGTAAATGTTACATTTAGTGATCGTAAAACCGCAAAGCGTGAAGTTCGTAATATGAGATATCAGAGGTATTTCTAATATGAGATAACCTATATTTAAGTGACATTTGCTGCTTGAGTATGAAAATCATTCGCCGCGAGCGCCATTGTGTCTGCAAAGGGGTGGTCGCGTACGCGCGGTGAAAAAATAATAATTGTGATTTTAAGGTATGTATTTAACATTTTTAAAGGTACAGCTTCACTGTCATTTTAATATATT